TATTGCAGCTTTGTGTCCCCAAGAGATATTGCAACACTTCAAGTGTCTTGTAAAAGTTACTCACTTGTCGAAAGCTACAGAATTAAGGCCCCATTTAACATCTCCCAATATAACTTTGAGGGCAACAAATGAAGTGTAATACAGTGCAGAAAACAAAGAGCTCAGTTCCTGAGATGAGGGTAAAAAACCCAGGGAACTGAGATTCTGAAAACTGGAACAAGGAAAACAAGTCATAAATATAACAATTTCACTGACTGTTCTAGGAGTGCAACTACACAACTCTAGCATGCTTCCTGAAAGAACTGGAGGTCTTGAAACAAGATTTGGAAGAGGACAAACAGCGACCTGTAATAAACATCAAGAAGAATCTTGAGGATTTTATGGTAGGCCAGAATCAGCATGTTCATGCATCAAGATCTGTGTTATCAACCCATGAAATACAGGGGTTTTTTTACAAAAATATGCTAAGATTAACTATGTGAAAAGATCTATTTGCATGGTAATCTAATATAGTAAAATACATTGGAGCCCTACGTGTCATACAAGACAACATTTAACTAGAGATGGCATTTTCTTTGATGAATCATGCCAAGCATCTTATGTTGACAAAAGCTTGTTTTTAGGAGCATAGCAAATATTTACATAGCAATGGCTTTGAAAACTGTGCCAGTTTTCAAAAAAGTTTATGACTGGAGGGCCCAGGGATGAATGTAGTACACCCTGACATACTACTAGACTAAAATCCATGGCCTAGACATCCTTGTAGCATTTTATAAGTACTCCTCAGGCTAGAAATATTAAGGGTTGTTTTTTGTTAAAGGAAAAACCTTATAAAAGTTGATGTATCATTGTTAAAACCAGCTAGCAAGGAGGTTATCACCAATCAATAAAATTCTCTGTATTGCAGGACCCTAATTTCTCAAACCCGACATGCAAGAAGTGTGAAGCCAATGAGAAGAAAAAGTTTCCTGAATTTCACCAAGAAATGACCAGATTCCTGCAATCTATGCAGAAAGAAATCGCATAACCATTTTTATTTTTACTGCTACATTATTTATTGAAATATTTAATTCTGAATAATTTATATATTTTGCCATGTGGCATACTACTAGCTTTTTGTCCCTTTTGGGACCACTAAATGTTCTTAATGTGGGTGGTAAGACAGTCTGTTCTAAGATCACACTTGATCCTTTATGTAAGCCCTAGGGGCTCAATGTTCTTTGGAAAACTCATTAATTTTCAGTTCGTCAACAACTTGAGACCACTATTTATTGAAAAAGCTATTAAAAGTTATTGTGGATTATATTTAATAAATATCATGGACATATAAAAATCCTGTCTAGAGTCTTCTTTGTTATGATACTGTCCTTTTAAAGGGTGGCTTAATACTCTTATTTTTTAAAAAATACGCAAAAAAACCCAATGAAGCATTCAGCAGCATGCAAGTGTGCAGGTACCAGGGTATTTGTCACAGGATATAGAATATTAAATTGCTTCCCCTCAAAAAAGAAACCTTCATTTTTTCCTGAGCTGTACTACTTAGCTACACAAGCTTCCTGCAGGACACATTTTTCTCATTGGTGTAAGCAAATAGGTACTTCTCAAAATTCTTCAGAGACAGGGAAGCATTATGGAAACAGTAACACACTTGAAGTAACAACTGGGCAGGTAACTGAGGTCCCAGAACAACAAAACTGACATAAAATTGAAGAGTAATGAATAAATCCATGTGAACACACTGCATTGTCAGAAATCTTTCTGTGGAACCTCAGAAATGTCCTTACTTCCAACACAGATGGACGCAGTTCTGTGACAGTGAAACAATGTAAGAACATTTTTACTACACAAAAGCCCCAAGTCAATACTAACAAGGCAGGCTCTAATTGATGAAAGTGAGCCTACTACAGCAGCTATCATCTATCAGCGTTTAGACTTTGATGTGCTTTCCTGGTGGGTGTGGTATGGAGTACTTCATCTTAGACTTAAAACCAGACTAACAATGGAAAAAACAGCAGTTTCCTTGCATGCTGCAAAGAGAAAATGGGCGTTAATGACAGCTTTCTGCCCAAACTGGGAAAATACTCACAGCACTGCCGTCTGTTTCTCTACTCATCTTCTCTTCCCACGGTGAAGGAGTGCTCTGTCCCCACCCACAAGGACTCAGGAAAGTAAATACTGTCAGTCACCTCAGCCACAAACAGATAAGCCCCACCCTTCTCCTCAAATCAGGTGACAGTAACAACAAAAATACTTGAATACAGGACACAGATGAAAAAACAGGCAAGAAACTTCTGCATAAGAATTCCTTCTACCTTGGTAATCTTTGTAGAAAAATCCTTCTCTTTACACAGATTCCTTCTTACTCCAAAAACTTTTAAATGCAGCACGTAAAAAGAAACAGCATCACTCACAATACATGGCTTTGCAAACAAACCTCTTCCAGTATCAGCTCAGACATTTCTCTGTGGGCAGTGTTGTGGTACTGCTGCTCTAGCTCTCAGCAACCAAAGAGGGTGAAGAAGCAGTTTTCATTAAAAACAATTCACTTAATAAATAAGACTTTCTTTATTATTTCCTTAAGCCCAAGAGCCCTCAGCCTTGGCAGCTGGGTAAAATCTACCCTGGAGTCAGTCTGTGCAGCTGGACATCCCACATGGAATAACCAAGCTATTTCCTAAATCCCTGAACAGTAAGCATTAGGTAAGGCAAGAACAGTCAAATAGTTCAGAAAGCAAGAAAGGATGGTAAAGAGATACTCACCCATGCATTCGTAAGGAAAGGCAGAAGCTGGAGCTCACAATTTCACAAACACAAGCAGTGTGAAACTACGTGCACTTTTTGTGGCATTTGGTGTGCACAAACTGCTTTGGAGTTGGGCTATCCTAAGATAGCTGCAGGTTTACACACATGGAAAGAGCAGGCTTTGTCTGTCCTGGCTCCAGTTTTGGGGATGACATCACACTTGCACAGTAGCCATGCTTTGCTGTGGATTTTCAAACCATGTTCAGGCTGCCTTGCTACCCACACAGCACTTAGAGCAAGAAGTGCAAGATGGTTTTCCAAAGAAATATTCATATCAAGACTGCTGACACAAAGAACTAGCTGAGGTGCGAGGAAGGTGCTTGCACTACACGTGGTTATGTTGTCAAATCTACACCTAATTATAGAAAGGTCCACATTCTTAAACAGCATCTGCAGGACCAGCTTCTGTATTTGCCCAAGCTTTAGAAGATGTCTTTAGAGAGCAATGTCGTTAAAAGCATCTGAAAATGCAAGGTGAACTTTACTAGACATACCTTCCCATTGTGCTGTAAGAAAACCTAAAGTTTCCAAAATTGATTTCCTGAGCTGCCTTCTGCTTGATTGCACAGCTGTAGTAGCAAATTAAGATGTTTGACAAGTGCCACGAAATGTATGTGACACGATAGGGGTGTGGCATGCGTGTGAATGTATGAAGTCTGAGACATGGTGTGACGTGGTATGATGCACGACATTGTACAGTGGATTATCCCTGCCTCAAGCGGAGGCAGAACCAGCTGTGGGACTGGATTTGCCCCAAAACCCAGGGGCACGTGGCACATAATGCAGAGAGAAGGGGAAACACAATTTGTACCTGAAGGGGATTTGATTCCTAGGTGAGAACAGTCTATAATGTTGAACTGTGTAATACTGTATGCATTGTGTGTACATCTAGGATAGACAGACCCCACAGTGATGGACCAAACTAACTCAGCCGACACCTGAGAAGAGGGAGAGCCATTGGCTATGGAAATGAGACCTGTGCTCCTATGTAAGGATGAATAATGTTCCGGTTCTATCCAGAATAGGATTAAGTCTCTGCAGCATCCAGGAGCGGGCACAGCCAAAACACAGAGGTCACTGTGTACCACCTCACATCATTACCAGGGATGGAGGAAAGGGATCCTTCTTCCAGAGCAGCTTTCCTTCTGGTTCAGAAAATGGTGGAGGGAGCTGTCCACGATTGATGGTTACTGGGTTTTTTCTGCCCCATGTGAACCACTGCTGTTTCCAGTAAATTGTTCTATCTCAACTCCATGGCCTTTGCCTTTCTGCCCCCAATTCTCTACTCCACCCTACTGCAGCAGGGAGGTGAAGGGAGAAGCATGGAAGTAGAGAGAGCAGGACGTGGTTTGGAGTCTCAGTGGGGGCACAGAACCAGGAAGTACCATTCCTAAAGGTCACTGTGTGTCCAGCTATGCAGGCAGAGCTCCATGAATTGGAAAGCACACCCCCACACACGACCCGCTCCATATCCATGTGTACATCCATTCTTTCCCCTGGAGCTCAGTTCTTCTCAAGCAGGGAGGGGAGAGGCTGAGCTCTGCCACAGGCTGCTGCTACTGATGGTACTCACCTGCCTCTGTCTGCTCTGTGCCCCATCTGTGTGATGCACACCTGCTCTGTGTGCATGGACCTGCTGAGAATTCAGCTTCAGCCTCAGCACTGGAACTGCAGCACCCTTGCCTCTTGCAGGCTTGCAGAACCATACACGTTGGAATTACTGAAGTAGCCAAGGAAAAATGTGGACACAACGTCTCCATGCTTCCATGTACTAGCTTAGTGCATGCTGCACATGCTGCTACTTGAAGAACAATCCAGGTAAAAGAACTGGACCTACACTGCTGCCATCAAGTTATTGCTCAAGGACACAGTGATCATGTCCAGCCAAACACATCCTTTTCACTAACAAACATCTCTCTTCCTAAGGCAGCACCTAAGTTCCATGGAAATTTCAGTTTGCTGTTCAATTAATAAAATGGCTGAAGCACACAAAAAAAAGCTCAATACTTGTACATATTTAAGGCTTCTGAATCAACTACATGAAACACCTTGGGGCCAATACCCTGAAGACCAAGGCCATACAAAAAGCAATCCAGGAGTGTATAGAATGCAAACACACGTGTGGTATGCTGTGTGTGTGTCAGATTTGACATGTATATCACTTCCCAGCATCTGTATGTATGAAGGTATAGCTAATGCATTGTCAAGGACATTTATTGAACTTTCAACACCCCTACAAAAAGGCAACACTGCGCTCTAGCTTGGAATATGACAGCCATTCCCAAGCATTCTTAGAAAATACTACATGGAACAAGCAGTCTGTGGAACATGTGCCACAATGAACCAAAAACCACCACACCACCCCCAAAGTTAAGGCACAGTAACAGAAAACAAGAGAGCACATTAGCCAAAAAAAGGTCAAGGACCAAGTAGTAACAGGTCAGCAAGTTTCAACAATTTGTGAATGAGCAAAAGATCATCCCAACAGAAGACTCCACATATTAGCTGGAAGAACAGACTAAGGAAAAAACCAACACCAGGAGGAGGAACTTCTTTGAGAATCCTCTAACACTAAGAAGGTGAAATGTGACTACAGCCCTAGGTTCGTTATTCCTGATGTATGAGAACACTGTGTAACCCTCCCCTCACATGATTTACAGCAATCACAAACATAATCCAGGTGTACCGCCTAGCTTGAACACAGCACCGTTCACAACACCACGCCAACTCCAAACATGGCACTTAACAACACCTTCCCAATGCTACCATGTTCTCACCAGGACTTGAAAGGAAGTAAATTCCCTTTTGACAGGCACTATTTTCCAGGTTGTATGCAAGATGATTTCACTAGGACTTGTCAGTGCAGTGATGAAGTCATCTTCAGTGCAGGAGTCCAATTCATCCATAAGCATTAACACTGATGGGGTCTGAGGCAAACCACAAATGCTGAAAAAACCTTGTTTCTGGAGACTTCTGTACTACATTGCATTACAGCTTTGACACCTGCATAATGCTTTAAGCCCACTACCAGGATCAGTACTTGTTGCAGAACAGTTGAGTAACAGCCAGTCATTCCAGGTTTCACATTAGGAAGTACAAAAATTATTATTTAACTCTTCTAGCACAAACAACATAAACTGTAAGCCAGTTGGCAGACTGACACTAAACAAAACTCACAGCAAAGGATGAATGCCTATAGATAAGCACATATTGTCCATTTCTTTTTTTTTCCTGGAAGACTCTCATGTTAGTATACCTTGTTTCTAAAGAAATCTAGCTTTTACTGTTTTTTTTGTTTCTTTTCTAAAGTTATGAGAAAGGGAGGAAAAAGAAGAACTGAATATACAGAAATCCTGAAACTATCAGGAAAAAGCCATGTTAATTCCACAGGGTGGGGATTTGTAGGAGTGAGGGCCAGTGAGAGGAAATGAGGTGGCACTGGGGGGCAAAGCAGAACAAAGATTTACAAAGCTGTTGGATACTCCCACCTATGAGAAAACATCAATTTTGGAAAAGACTGAACTACTACAGGTAGTTGAATAACTGCATTTAAACTGACAAGAAGCAGTTCTGGAATTGTTTTCTTCCTGTAACTACCAACTTAAAAGTTGAACATTTTACTACTCAGAACTCTATTTACTGAAACAGATCATTCAAACCGACTTGACATTTAATCCACCTCCATCAATCACTGAACTGTTCAATATGCGGAGACTTCACAATCCACGATCCGTAACTGTGCTGCTCTAGATAGCTCTGCAGCAAGCTTTTAGCTTCTTGGTACAGCTGAGACTTAATCTAAAAAAAGAAAAAAGAAACACCTTGTAAAATCGCAAGAATTACAGTTACAGAGAGGTCTGTAGAAAAATGTCAAGAATTACTCAGTGGGATTTTAGAATTACTCCTCTACCACCAACATGTAATAATAAGCACAAGCACAAACACTGCAAGAACGATGGCTCTCCCCGTGTCAGCTCACCTTTGCCTCATGGTACGTTGGGAACTGGAGCAGGTCAGCCCGTCCTGCTTCCCTGGCGAGCATCCTGAAGCGGCTGAACATGGCGGCCTTGCACAGGCGGCTGGCCAGGCAGGTGCCGCTGCGGAACGGGGAGCTGCGGGCAGAGCGGGGAAACGGGCATGGAACTCGGGAACCAACTCACTGCACCGAGATGCTCTGAGCCTTACAGGGCTCTTCCCTTCCCTCCTAACACTTGGTGAACGCCATCATGCTGGAATCCAGCTCGACTGGAATCCCAATTAGTTTAATGCATTGTGAAAGATAAAACATTTTCACTACTACGGGCAATCTCCACTGAGAGAACTGTTTTGTTTGGTGTCTTGGAATCTCACTGTGAGCTTACAAGATCTCTAAAACTTCACCTAATCACAGGATGCTTTCAGCTGACATGGGAGAGAATTTCTCTCATAGCTTAAAAACAGAATACTCCAATAAGCCAGCAGAAACCCATTATACCCAACAAAATGAAGATAAATGCTGACCTTTCAGTGGTTTTCCCACTTAATCCATCCACAACCTCCAGGGATGCATCTGCCAGTGTCCAATTCAAACTAAGCGACCAGTGGTTCAAATCTGTTTGGATTGGCAGTGCAGCTTTCACCAGGTAAATATGAGATCTGTTGACCAGGTAATGCACGGGAAGCTTTGAAATAAGTTCATCATCAAGACGCTGCTTTATGGTTATGTCCAGTCCTTTTGTATCCTTACAACTTCCATTTCCTAGTAAACAAGGTAAGATCAGCCACATGCAAGTTCATTAAATAGTTAAAAATGCAGGAATTTCTACATTCTTAACCCATTATAGTCATTTTTTCCACATAAAATTTATGTTTGTAAAGATCAGTTCCAATATTCAATTCACAGAACAAAAATGATTTCCCACTTTCTTGTCCAGAGGCACCATTATTTTCCCTGGATGTTTTCTTTTTTGAACCACTGTTTTTCACCAACTCTTTACATTCCCTGCTAAAACTGAATTTCAACCTTTCACACTACAAAATATGTTGAAGAGTTTGCCCACATTACCTCACATCCAACAGCATTTCTGACTGCCTACTGAATAAATACACTTTGGTTCACTGCATCTCAAGGAACACTTCTGTAATTCTTCCAAATATTTTTGGTTTAGTTCACGCTTTATAAAGCACAATCAAATTGGAATACAGAAACACACAAAGCCCCCAGCTGGAATTGGCACTGAACATACCCACGAGAATGTTGCTGATGTACACGGGTTCGATGAAGTGGCTCAGCAAGGCTCCCTGAAGACCAACCACCTCCCACTTGGTCAGTTTGTCCCCAGCTGACATGCTGCTCACTCTGACAGTCTTGGGGGGACAGCAAACAGCCAGGTAAATCCTGCCTTCCAGGGCAACATGCAGGCTCAGCTCTTCGCTGGCTTCGTATGCAGAGATTGACTGGGGCCCGAGATGCCTAGGGCAGGACAGGAGAATGGATCTCAGTGAGAAAGCACTCTGATCAGAGATTGCACTAAGTGGTATCTAAGGCTGTTTCTGAGAACAAAATAATCAGTAGATCTAGGCCTTGTGTTATCTTCAATGTCTGTAATTCTTAGAAACACCAGACTGAGCTGCTCAAGTGCCTAGAATACTGAAATCAGTATTTAAATAGGAAATAGCCACTCAGTCTAATCTTAGCCACCAGTCTAATTTGAATGCACAAATTAAAAAAACAAAACAGCTGCAAACAAGCTGTCACTTTTCATCTACCCACACTGCAACAGAAGTTACTTGCGAAAAAACAGCTGTAAGGTTCTTACAATCTCCTTTAAAATGTAACTCACACTGTGATTCAAAAGATTTAACTAAGTAGATACAACACCTAAGGGAGACAAAGCAGTGGCTGTTCTGAAGCAAAACAGTTTTTTCCCTTAGTTACAAAGAGGTAAGACATCAAAGCAGAGCCTTTGGTTTCAATTCAAGGCTTTTTCTACTCCAATCTTGTAGTGCATACAATGGCATTAGGTCATTACATCCACTTGCTCAATGGTTAAATTAATGATTTAGTAGTAATTTAATACTATCTTGGGAAAGGGGTTAACAGCTCATTGTCTGTAATAAACAAAACCAAGAAACTTATATAACCCACAAAGGAATTTTCTGTATCATCATATTGAGCTGTACTGCATGTGTATCACAACTACCCTGTGCATTAACGTTCCCCAAACAAAATAAAAATTCATCTTCCACTATATATATCAGGAAATGCCACGGTACTTACACCTCTGATTTTAACTGAGCAGTTCCTTTTGGAAGCTGGTTCATGTAGAGAGACAGAGTTATGTTTTGCTTTAAGGTAAGCAGCTTCGAGCCTGGTGCTGAGCAAAATATGGATCTCTCTGCCTTGGCTGGATTTTTGTTATAGAACAGCAAAAGATGTCTGTACAAGTATCTAAAAGAAAAGTAAATTATGTATTTTACATTAAATACTTGATATTTAATAAATTGTATCTTTAATAAATTATTTTATTATATATTTTTATATGATCTAGATACACGTTTACATTATTATTTATTATTTGTTTACGTAAGTATAGCATTCAAGTGCAGCAGTGAACCTGACCCAAAGTGGCAGCAAGGGAAGGATTTGCAGAGACATTCCCACCTGAGCAGGGAACGCCTGGCAGTGATAATGGCATGGCTGTCGTGCAAGAGCCTCCCACAGGACTCCGAGCGCCGGCTGTAGTTGCATTCTCCTGTCCCCAGGGCCACCACCTCATGCTGCCCACCTAAAACCAGAGATGGTGGGGGGCTCACCTGGGCTGGCTGCCCACCAAGCTCTGAGAGCTCTGTGGGAGCAGGCTGCCCACTCCCCAAAGCTCACAATCAAACCCAGACTTGCCCTTCTCAATGATGAAGGCAGCCAGGGAACTGCCACAGCTTTGGTACTCAGGGTGTTGGGTAGTCAGGCGGTTAAACACTTCTTCAAGCATTTGTGACAGCTTTTGATAGATATGTTCTCCTCCTAAATGGAACAACAGAAGCCATCAAGACAAACTTACAGGTACCAGAAAAAGCATACATGAGCAACTTACCAAATTATAACCCCAAACACACAGTATAAGCACAACCACGTGTACTTTTGGGATTCTGAAGATCCTGAGGATTAAAAAAAGCTCAAGAACACCCAAATACTTGATGCTTCTATCATCCATTACAGTAACAACAGTTACAGCCCAAGTTTGATCACCTACTGCACACTAGCTCAAGTAAGGACAGAGAATATTGCTTCTATTTCTATCACCCGGACTGGTGATATAAATTCAAGCAATTTAATGAAGGTGCGTCCTTTTGTAGAACTGACATAGTAATACTACTTCTTACAGCCTTCAGAAATGTTTAATACAATACTAACAACATAGAGGGCACTAAATGTATTAAAAGATGAAAAAACTTCAAAAAGAAACTATTTGCTGAGCAACAGAGGAAAAGCAAGAGCATTCCTTACCAGTCCTTGAAACACAAGCCGAGTTTCCTGGAGGTCGGGGCTCAGCAGGAACACAGGGAAAAGCTAAGAATGCAAGAACATTTTGAAGTGGGATGGCGATGCCTGATTTCTAAACATTCATCTCACATTATCTGCAGCAAGTCAAACTTGATAAGTCTCTATGAACTTTCTCTTCTGATTTTGAAGTCCCTGTAAGCTTAGAATGATTCAGACAGCAAAACTCAAAAGAAAATAAAATAGTATGGCAAGTGAACTCTGTTGAAAGCAGTATCTCAGTGGGGAAGCCTTTTAATCATAAAAATTCAAACCCACTTGAGAATGTACTTCTTGTTGCTGCACCTAGTGAGTAGCAAATCAAGTGCAACCGCAATGAATTAATTCCTTCAGCATTCCTGGCATCAGATGATGCAACTCTTAATACACAAATGACAAAAATGAAAACCAGTTTCAGAACCAAACTACAGATTTGCCCCAAGGATTCAGAACACCTGACAGAGGCCAATACTGCAGCATTTAATAAAACCACAGATGTTTTGCATAGGACACTGTTAAGCCAAGCATTTCAAAGTCTAATTAGGCCTTGCTACAATATTTACCTGCATCTTCAAAAAACTTTGCCCCTGTATTCTCCAAGTTAAGGAGCTCAGCAAGAGCCAGTTTAGCTGCATTTAATTTAGATTCCTTCTTGTTCTTTCCCAGCCCAGTCTTGTAGCAAACACCATTTATCACAGCACAGAAGGCAAAGTAAGGCCTTATGACATCACCTTAAAAGGAGAAGAAAAAAGTAAAGGCAACCAGTGAAATTATTTTAAGGCACTTCATCCACAGCTTTATGTCGTTATATTAATTCCTAGAACAAATACAAGACAAAAAGACAATTTTGGAAAATAAAACCCTCATCTCTAACCTCCCCTAAAATTTAGGCAGCTTTCGCTTCATGCACTCTTCACAAAGTTCAGTTCCCACTCATATAATTAAAGCCAATTAACCTGATCGATTTCTGTAGCACCTCATAATGAGACACAGCTGTGGAGGCAAGGACAGGGCAGCCAAAACCCAACACGCGTGGGGGTAGTGCAGTCAACAGTAACAAGGTTCAGCTGTATCAGCACCACCCAATCAACTCAGATACTCTCAAGGATAAGCAAACACCGCTTCATTTGGCAGCAGAAGTGTTTACCTGCCACGCTCGTTTCTTTCAATTCAAGCTGCAGGTGGTGTGTTTTGGCAAACAGATGCAAGGCAGACACTGAGTTTATTACTCCCTGTTTGTATCTTTCAATCAAATCCAGGTCTCTCTGTGAGGGAAAGGCTGAAAATGTGGTGGTGCCGACTCCTTCAGAAAGAAAATGTCCTTAAACAAAATTAAGGAGAGAACTGAACACACTGTCTGAAAACCTGCTTACAATAAATACTTTTCAGATGCTTCTTATAAAAGCAAACCAAAATTTACTGTAGAGCATTACTGCTTTGTACTGAGCCCTACATTAGCAACAAGAGCAATTCCAAAGCAGTGTGTGCATTCTCTTTTACAAGCATCAAACCTTTTACTGCAGTAAATCCCATAATCTGTGAATACAGACAGATATGTACTACAACAAAACACAACATATATTCCCCTCCCCTCTCTTGTAAACCAACAATCAAATCAAAATCGCCGATGGCAGATACCAAACAGTGGAGCCTGTATTTTTTCCACACAAAGCTGGGCAGCAGCAGGACTCCTTGTTCTAAGACACCATACAAGTTTCAGCAACCACTGGAGGGATGCAACAATCAGCTTCAGGTGGCGTGCGATAAACCCAAGCACAACCACTTCCCACCCAACAAGAAATCCTCACTTTTAAGAGGCTCAACAGTGCCTTTACTGCAACACAACTACTCAAAGTAATACAAAATACATCCTGGGACATCTCAAACTGCAGTTAAACCCTTTCACAATATTATTTAGGAAAATTCATGCAGCAGAACATATTCTACATTTTGTCACTCTACAGAACTTCGTAACTTGAACTTTTTAAGTAGGTAATGCTGAAGACTAGACATGCCACCCCACAACAAATGGCTAAAAATCTTCCAGCACAAAAAGGCTTTAGAAAAGGAGGGACAAGTTTAAGGAGATGCCAAAGAAGTTATGTATGAAAATACAGCAATAAAGAAAAAGCAAAGTTACTTTCAATAGCATTAACAGCCAATCCCAGTGTATAAACTGCAAACTATACCTGGATTTTTCATCACCCTTGGTTCACTGCACATCATACAAGGTGGAGGATTCAGCCTTGCAGTCACAGGCTCGGAGAGATCCTTCGAAATTGGCTGTCTGAGAACCTCGGGGGGCAAAATCTTCTCAGGTGCAAGGCCGAAGGCGAACATTGCCGCACCCTCAAAGCAGCCATTGCTGCTCGCCATTTCCGACCGACCTAAGGAAACTTTACTCACTAATGCTGCCAGTAGCAAAAACACCCTGCAAAAAACCCAGCAGTTCTCCTGGTAAAGCTATTTCACAGGCACACCAAGAACAACTCGCCCAGAGCTGGGGTAGAGCCCAGACCCGGAGTCCTTCCCCACACGGCGGCCGCTTCTCCTTTTGTTACACCACCTTCCCTCACGCGTAACGCGGCCCTGCCCCTCGAAGGACACACCTCAAAACTCTCCTGACGGAGTGAGGCGAACTAAAGCAGCAGAGCTGAGCCCTCTCAAGCTTCCAGACCAAGCTAGCGCTGTAGTTGAAGGGTTTGGTACCTGCACCTGCTGCCCTGGTCCTGCTGTGGAGGGTTCCTCAGCGCTCACCCCCCCGCGAGCAGGCGGAACGCCCCTCAGGGCACACGAAGCTGGAGGAGCCGGGGAGGTGCCGGCCGCCCTGAGGCGATGGCCTCCGAGAGCCGAGCAGCTGCCCTGAGGCAATGGCCTCCGAAAGCGGGGCAGCTCCCTCACCTCAGCCCGCCGGGCCCTCAGAGCCGGGGGCGGCCCCTCACGGCCCTTCCCGCTCTTTGTGAGGGCGCGGCCGAGGCGCGAGGCCGCAGCTGCGGCTGAGGGAGGAGCTGAGGGAGCGGCTGAGGGAGGAGCTGAGGGAGCGGCTGAGGGAGGGAGGGAGGGAGCGGCTGAGGGAGGGAGGGAGGGAGCGGCTGAGGGAGGGAGGGAGGGAGCGGCTGAGGGAGGGAGGGAGGGAGGGAGCGGCTGAGCTTTGCGCCCCTGTGCTGCCGATTCGGCTTCGAATGCGCTTCCCAGCCGCCTCCTTCACCTTCCCGGGCCGCTCCCGCCGGGCAAGGGCGGCACCCGAAGCCGCCACAGCCGTCAGAGAGCGGGAGCAGCCGCTTCCCCGATCCCAGCGAAAGCGCCGCTGCTCGGTCGGGGCGGCGCTTTCCGCCTTCCGGCTGCTTCCCGAGCTCCCGGCTTCTGGGCTTGACCTCACTTCAATCACAGTCCGCAAAGTTACACTTAAAACACACTTCTCGTTGCTCAGCTTCCTTGAGCGATGCAAAAATAAAGGTCCTGTACAGTAGTTAAATTTTATTACAAGTGTAATAAACTTCATGATTTTTAGCACTAAGGCAATCACAGTTTCATAAGTTATATATATATATATATATAATTTACACCAGTCTACATTGACAAATCAATTACTGGTCACATCAACGAGGGGTTTGTGTTATGGCAAGTAAAATTTTAAGAAAATTCACAGTTAATCTGCAAGTATTGTAAAGATGCAGGATCATATTGCACATCATAAAATGGACGCTGAGGAGCAGATTTACAGTGTTCCAGCTATTCCTTCACAGAATATACATTGGTCATCATCATTATCATGCAATAACTTCAAATACAGAATGGTATCAAGTACCACAGTAAACAGTTACTCACAATGTAAGTTTTAAATAGAGTAGCAAAAAGCTGTTAGGTTTCTCTTTAAACCATATTTAAGTTCTTAAAATATAATAAAACACTTTGATAAAATCAAATGGAGTTAGGGTTGTCACATTGTACTTTTAATATTCTTCTTTGTCTTTTCCTTTCTTCTCCTTTTCATCTTGTAGTGCAGTACCAAGTTTCTTTATAAGGACTGACAAAACTTTGTCCAAAGGATCCATAACACCACGCTGCAGCCACTTAGGGATAGTAGTCCTTGCATGGTGAAAGCCCAGCTTTTGGAGGATGTAGTCAACACCAACAGGATCAATTTTTCTCCCAGTCCAGGATATTAATCTAAAAAAGCCATAAATAGACTCAGTCTCAAATATATAAATATAGCAAACAGGCATTTGTATATCCAAAAAAACCCCCAATTTTCCCCAGTGTTACTCACGACCAACTTAAATCTAACAGGCATTGTTTCCAACTTGATTTAGACACATAAGCTCAAGATGATCAATGGAACATCCTCTCAAAGGAAGACGTGAAAAACCTGATTAAAATTGATGAGTTTAAAGTTTACTGTATCCTAATTCAGAAGAGCCTCCAACAATGCCTTTAATCTGCATAAAACCTAACCCAGAAGTTAATGCACAGCCAAAGAGACTGCAGCTACTAAAGCTGCTTGTTACCTGAGCGTGGGTTCCAAATGCCAAGTATTGCACATAAACTCCCTCCAGTCAACTGTAGTGTAGGTAATGCTTTCCTCTGCCTCTTTATCAGTGGAGCTGTCCTCAAGGACACCAACAGAATTCTTCTGCCCTGGACGAGCAGCCAAAATGCGAGGAGGAAAAATTGCTGCAAAGGGGAGAGAAGGAAAACACCAGTCAGCCACGAGTAGCTCACTTGGATTCTTAGTACACAGTTTCAAAAAAACAAAAGCACAAGTCTCAACAAGAAGAGAAGCACGTCATGTTTCCAGATTTTCTGCAGAAGGCCACATGTTGCTTAACAATGAACATGCCAAATTTCAATGCTGCAACCGAACATTAAAAAGGTAGAAAATTAAACCATCCTGAAATCAGAAAAATGCATGTCTTGAAAGGACTCCACAGATGAAAGGATTGCAATAACAAGAATAAAGCTTCCTGAAAGTTTTCATCTGCCTATACCATATCTTATGAAGAGAAAGTTCAACACCAGGTCTTTAACTAAAAATAAAAATAGGAGCATGATTATGACTTAGAGTATTTGCTGTCGAATAATCTGACAACTGCAGATGGTCAGACAAGTGTCACTTCATGAACAACTCACCTTTTTCTTTTTCTTTTAGATAAGCAGACACCAAGTCATGCAGAAACATGATCAGTTCAGCATCCATGGTCACACAGATGTGGTCTGTAAATTCAGTTACCACACTGCATTCCACCTTTGGTTTAACACTTGTATCTACAGCCAGATAAAAATAGCATCAATACATTTACAAGTGCATACAGTAAATCTAAAAGTACATAGAATTTGAATGCAAATCATTTGAAAATAATATTTTTCATTGAACCAGCAACTGTTTAGAGGAAGGGCCACAGTTAACATTGTAATAAATATAAGGAAACCAAGCCTATAAAACAGCCAGCATAGCTGAAATGTTCATATTAATTCCTTAGTTATTTTCTACAGCAACCAGTCTCTACACTAGATCTTCACTCTCTCAAAATAATTCCCTCTACATTTTACAACAAAATTTTGTCTTTTCTTGCAGATCTGCAGCAATTCTCCTATTAAATCCTCTTATCAGCACACTACCTTTGTCTTTAACTCCTAATTTGCAAGAAATAGTTTTTCACCATGAAAAAGCAAATGATGTTCTACTGCACCTTGTAATGAAGGCTCTTGGGGCTCTTGAACATGAATAGATTTAAAATCCAGCTGCATCCTTGGCAATGCAAAGATGGTTTCAGTTTCATGGTTGTAACTGGAGCCACCCCTGAAGCCACTTAACAAGCTTGAGCTTTTCACTGTGGTGCTGCTCTCTGGATTGTTGGCATCAACATTCCGTAGCAGGTTCAACTCTACGGGAACAATGGGAGATGTTAAATCATGACAAGGCAAAAAAGTTAAGGAAAAAAAAAACTGTAAAACTGCTGCTGTAGTATTATTGAGAAGATTTTCTTTTATTCTGCTCCCAAAAGCATGACTAGAAAAGATCAATCAATTTTGTTCTTTATACACTTGAAAAGTAGCAGCTTCTCAACAGCTCCACGTGCAAGCAGGTCCATCCCCAGACTGAGTGAACCTGGCTCTAACCTTCATTCCTCGTGGCTGTCACATAATTGAACCACTCCTTCACGCTGGCAACTCCGTGGGGGGGATTTTCGTGGCGGCGCCGCGTGATCTTGGTGATGGTGGCCATGGGGCTTTCCAGGGCCCCACAGGGCTTGGTGACCATGGTGTTATGGCCCAGGTGGAAGTCCAGGGTCTGAACGATGTACGTGGAGTGCTCACTGGTACCTGCATTGGAGGTGTGGGCAGTGTGGTGTGGGAGAGGAAAAAAAAAAAGTAAAAGCAGCTTAGTGGGGATAGTGGAATTTTCTCTCATTCTCCTACAGGTATTTAATATGAATAATTAAGTGTGTCAGTGGAATAAAATTTGGTATAAAGCTTGAAAACAACAGAGAAATCAAATCCTCAATAGCTACAAACAATAAAACTTCACAATATTAAGACTGATATAAGCAATAAGATCAGCAAAATTCATCATACAGCTAGGAAGGACTACACAAACACAATTAAAAAGCCAGCCAATCCACTCAGTAGGCTCATTATCAGGGACATATCCAGTACATTTGAAAATGTACTTTATTCCACAGATAAAGCAAATTGTGGTTAAGGTGTGGAGGGAACAGATCGTTTTTAGATAAAGGGTATAATTTTGGGAAATATTCTTGATTCAGACAAAGAAAATAGATTTTTGATTTATTCTTATGTAATAATACATTATTAAAAACTCATTTAAAGAAATTTAGAGGAATGAGTAAACAGTTTAAGTTACCATCTTCCAAAACTTTCTGGGCTTCTGTCCAAAATGCAATATTGGGTTCTTCCAGGTGAAACAAGGCCCATGATTTTGAGCGGAAATTAGGTCCATGAAAACAAGCCAGGGTCATGTGGTTCCCGTGCAGGCTCATGGATCCTCCAAACTGCATCCCATCTTCTGGCAGTGGCATCTGGAACAGGGATATGTGGCACCCAGACACCACCTTCAGAACTCCTGGCCAGTGGCGATGATGGGCTGCATCCAACACTGCAGAGCAAACATGAACAACAAACCTCAGGCAAGATGCAGAAAAAACTGCTGGCATACTCCTATTTTTAGTAAAAATTGGAATTACGAGTGATGGTCTCACTGAAACAGAAAGGAAGTGTCTCCTAGGTACTTGTTTCACTGACACGGTCTCCTAGGTAATTTTTGCAATTAAAACATTTTAATTAGGAATCCTGTAATTTTTTGGCAGCACTTACATTGCTCGTGTGAGGTTCTCTCCAAGTTGTTTGCCACTGTCTTGGG